GAATTACTTTTAACATTAATATTGAATAATCAAATTGACAGATTGATTGAGCAAATTCAAATAATTGATTCAAATTCGGTCACGATCTCAGAACAAAAATTCCTTATTGAACTTATCAAACTTCAATTGCATCATATTTACGATGATTCATCTGCACTTTTCATCATGTTTTGCATCTATATTAATGTTTCAGACAAGTTTATCATTGGCAAATTTCACAACACCCAATTCATAGAACCATATCATAACTTAATCGATACATGCTCAATTGAGATGAATAATTTCAGAATGCAATTGACACAATCGATGCAAGAAGAGAAAACTAAATATATGATTGTCTATGAAAAACTACAAAATGAATTCAATCAATTTTTGAAAGATCTCAATCATATTGTATAGTTAATGAGAACACTAAGAAAATACTCAAATTTTTGTGATACTCAATGATTCGTCTGATTTTTGTCATTCACTACAAGCTCTGTGTAAAATAGAGTAAACAAGATTTTTTTAGAAATGATTTTCACGACGAATAGAATTCATATGACCATTTCTTTTCGAAACTATATTTCAAATGAAGTTGGATAAGGGAGTGTAGTGTGTGTGTCGCTTTTAGTATGAATCTGGCTTTGGATGTGGTTGAAGAAAATATTTCACACCTGTACCAACAAGTACATTCACAGCCTCTTTGATTTTGTAGTTCAGCTAGCTGTTAAGGGATATTTTATAGTACATTGAGTGCTCGTGAAAGTTAGTGATTATTTGAATGAATATCTTGTTTATTTTCCAACTTATTGTTTTGATAGAAAAAGATTGACAGAATGAATATTAGTCTCAATCATGAAAGTACTGTTCTAGTCAACGTCAATTGTTTGTGTCTATTGATTTGATCGAAAATTGTGAAAGAGCTTTGAGGTGTGGGTACTACGTGGATTTTCCAGTTTTATGAACTGTTTTATTGTTTTTTGGAGACCGTAAGTTCAATTCTAAGGTTAATTTGTAAGAGTATCTATTTTATAAATTTTAATAATTTTTATTAATACTTATTTTTTTTTAAATAGAATGTCAGCAAAAGTTTTAGTAGATGATGCATTCGATTCATAAATTAAATTCGGATTCTGAAAGGATAGATCTTTATCATAGCTACTCAAAAAAGACGCTTCTAAAATTAATATTCAGCTAATGAATGCATTAAATAGTTAAGTCATTAGAAACAAAATATTTTGCTTCATTTGTGTAACCAACTGTTAGAAATCTAACGGATGTGAGTGCGAAAATAGGTGTTGTTGTTATGTTGACTCACATACCTCGGCAATAAAAAATAACGAATGAATTAGACAGTCGAAAATAACTTGATACCTTACTGCTTTTTGAATAGTATATAATCTTTGATATGATAAGAAACTTCAATCAGAATATGAAGTTCTGAACAAGCATTACTATTATTACATTTTCTTGCCTTAACAGGTGCCGTTTTCTGTTGTATCCATTAAACTGCTTACTTTGAAAAAATAAAATTTGTCTGAATCAGAACTCATTTATTATTATTCAATTAATATGAGTTCGACATTGAATTAAATTTTCATGAATAATTTTGTCTTGTTATTACTTTCTGATTTATAATACGGAGCTTCTGTTTTTTTTTTATTCTAAATCTAAATTTCAGTTCACTACTTGGAAATGAGTAAAGTAAATCAAAGGTAAAATAAAACTTACGAAGAAAATCATTACTTCATGAAGATTAAAAATATTAATAAAAAAAAGCAATTTCAATGAATAGAACAACTTCAGAATATCCACAAAATTAATTAATTTACTTAGAGTAAAATTTTACTCATTGACACGAAAAACTTTAAACTACAGCGTATATTTTATGTTTAAATTTTATCTGCAAACTTGATTAATAGAAAGTAGTCCAACATAAAATAAATAGTTTAAAAAATGATTTTATTTTTCACAGATCCAACTAATTATTCTAATATGACCCTACCTATTCTCTAAAATTAATAAACATAGGTCTTTGCTGCGCTCTCCGACAAAATTCTTAACAATGAATTAATTTTTTTAATCATCTTGTTAAAAAAACTCTAGATTTGCTGAAAAATTAAAAGTTTGTTCATAGATAATAGAAAACACAAAAAATTATTAGTATATTTTGACAGCAAAGCAATTTGATTACCTGATTGGAATAGATAATCGAACAATACAGAGATGCTGTTGATAATATTTGAAAAATAATTTCAGTCATATTTTCATCAATGTCTTTTAAAGAAACACTACCATTGGTTAAGACAATATTATCCAGAGTTTAAAAACAATAATACTCATTGTTCAAACAAAATAGTTGACATGCAATCGCATAAAGACGTTTAACTATGATTGAAAGTCTACAATTAAATTGAATCGACTTATTTACTTCATTATTTGGTTTCGTCACAGTAACTGGTAAATTTTGACGGAGAAGATATTAATTGAATATCTTTTGATAGAACAAAATCATTTGAATATATAAGATATTGATATAAAATATCTTCTTAATTTTCTTTATTAACATCAGTTATAATAGCAGAAACGATAAATCGTTGATGTTTCTCATTTTCTTTTTTATTAATATATGAACTTGTTGTAAATTATTCGATTTTTTAATGGACACTAGACAAGTTTCATTTTCTTTAACAAGAATAAATTTAGTTTTATTAAAATTTGATAGTTTTTCATTCGAATTAATAATTCTTTTCATATCATTCGTAGTTAAATATTTGTAGCCGTTGATTTATTTTCCTGTTGAATTTAGTGATTGCTCAATAGTTATATTTCTATTTGATAAATGTATTGTAATTTGTTGCTGATCGTCATATTTTGTTATTTGGACTGAGATTGATATTTGAAAATGAATTAGTTCGTTTTCATTAGTTAAATAGGTGCTTATATATTTTTGAAGATCATCTTTTGTTAACATAAGTTCATTTGTCTCTTTCAAGAAAAATTACAATCATCAGAAGATATATCAGTTAAATTTAATTGTTCAAGAATGTTTCTCATTATTTAAAAAAAGAAGAAATCTTCATTGACTTTAATACGAATATAGTTTGATTATTTGTCTCAAAGGTTAAAATAACTTTACTCAAACTATTTCGATTTACAATATCAATTATAATTGGTTCTGTTTGATCTGTTGTGGATGAAAGAATTTGATTATCATCAATTATATGTGAGAATGCTTTTAACCAAAGATTTCTTTATTGCCATTTTGTCGTTGAACAAAACAGATGTATCATTTAGTTTTCATCTGTAATAAAAAGAAAATGTTGTCCCATTTTTCATTAAAATACCAATCATTGACTTTTCAACAAAGTTCGATCGTTCATAGGGTGTGGTTGCGGATATTTCTTTTTCACACTGGCTCACACTCACAACCACCACATCCACCCTGTCACTGTTCAATACAACTCGTCAAAAGATAATCATATAAATTCAATCGGAAGTACATCATAGCTGTTGTTGGTATCGTAATTCGACCGATTGAGATGTCGCGAACTTTCTTTATATATCTTTTATCGAGTTGAACTGTTTTGGGTACAATATCTTCTCAGGATGCATCTGAAATTTGGATAATATTAGCTCGAATTAGTTTTGAAAATGTCTGACAACTTATGCACTTCTTACTTCCGTTATAAATCATCCAAAGAAAAGAAGCTTTTCTGGAGTTATGATATTGTAGATTATCCAGTTTTTAAAAACTTCAATGCTTCAGTGTTTCGAGTTTTTTTCGATAGTTTAGTTGCTATGTTTCGACAACACGTTGAATAGATGGCGTTGTATAGGTTGAATTTTTTCAAATGGAGTAATGACTAATGCATTGTAACTAGACGAGCAAATTAACTATCACTTCCTTTCTGTTTTTATTATCGATTGTATCGTCATCGTAAGCCTGGTTTTTTCCATTTTAGTATTTTTTTTTCCAACTATATTACTACAATGTCCAAAAGAAATAAGAATCAATCTGACGAGCGACAAACCTTTTCGTGGATGGATGCAATCAGCATTATAGATGATGTCACTACACAGGACACTGTTATTGTGTCCAACGGAACTATTCATAGTGATACCATGATGGAGTATCATGACTCAGAACACGACGTCTTGCCATGGAATGTATTCTATCATGGTCGAACAAATACTGAAAAGTTACGGTCTCCTCAATGTAAGTTTATGCAGGTGTGTGGATGTGGGTGTTTCTTTTTCATACTGGCACACACTCACAACCACACCTGATTCCATTCAAGTCAAGACCAAACTACTTTCTCTTGAGACAAAAATATTTATTCATTGTTTTAGTGTATTAAAAATCTACAAACTTATTTTCTAGTGTTGAAATTAGATCTACGGATTTCAGGTTCTCGTATTGACCTTCTCTACTCGCGTAAGATATACTGTAGCAACCTTACTAAGTTGACAATATGAAGTACTAAAAAACAAAAAATCATCATTTTTTTTCTATAGACGAAATCAAACATCCTGTTTAAAAGCTGTACTTATAAATAGATTTTCCTTCTCGAAATAATTCGATAAGTTATTCCATATTTATCGCAGATAGACACTAAAATACTTCAAAAAATTAAATTTTTCCTTTTTAAGTTTCGATGAAAATATATACATTATATTGTATAAGACTATTGTATTTATTAGCTACATCCTTGCAACGTTTTGGCGACTTTACAAAGGAGGTATCACATCGTCATGATGTAGCCATCGTTTGGCTGGATACTAAATTGGATTCGAACGATGAACACACACGATTATTGTTGCTTCAAGTAAATGATAATGTTGAGTTTTTTAACGATATTTATCTTTGTCTTGATCGATTACATACTTGCCGAGAAAGAGTTCTTTTCATAGTATCAGGTTCATGTGCTAAACAATGTCTTGAATCAATTCATTCATTAGAAACAATCGATTCGATTTTTATTTTCTGTATTTTACCGGAAAAGTACAGAGATCTAATGAGTGATGCTTATCCAAAAGTATTAGCTTGCCTTTATACCGAACAAGAACTTATTCAACGTGTTCGATTGTGGATCGATTTGAAATGTCAAACTTATTTTTATACATTGTGTAATAATAACAACTATACTAATCCATTATCTTCTTCAACAGCTCTTTTTCTTGTTAATCATATTTTATCGAAATATGTCGAATTCGAAATGTGCGATGAAAATAAACAATCCATGTTAAAACTCTGTCGAGCTCATTACTCTCAAAGTCAATTAGAATTAAAAAATATCAAAGAATTCGAATTAACCTATACGCCATCAGACGCGATCATGTGGTATACACGTGATTCATTTATTTATAAAATGATCAATCGAGCATTGCGATCATTTGATGAACATAAGTTGCATGCGATGGCTTTTTTCATTCGAGATTTACGACAACAACTCAAATTGAATTATCGAAATTTGACATGGGCGAATAGTCCAATGGTTTATCGTGGAATCTGTCTGACAGAAAAAGATATGCAGCGCATTCGTGATATTCCCAAAGGTTCATTGATTTCAACTAATGGATTTTTGTCAACCAGTCGAACATGTGATATAGCTCTAGCTTATGCTACGAAAAAATATGACATAGTAAAAGATTCGCTGTGTCATATACTATTTGAAATTGATGTTAGTATGGTTATGGTTGATTCGCCGGTTATATTTGCGGATGTGTCCCATGTGAGCCAGTTTCCAGAAGAAAATGAAATTCTCTTTGATATCGGTACTGTATTTCAAATAGATAACGTTAATTATGATGATACGTCGGATTTATGGACTATCCGATTGACAACACCTACTCGACAAGCTTACGAATCAATTGAAACATTATTAACATCGGTTCAACAACGATTTGAGAAAACAAGCAATGATCGTGATTACATAGGACTCATTCGAACATTACTTAATTATGATCAAACGAAAGAAACAATGAAGAAACAATATGAACATGAGCCTTGGATTTCCTGGTTTCGATCAGCCACTAATTCTACACTATCACAGCATGAAGATCGAGGCAAAAGCTTTTTTAGCGAATGTGCCACACGAATAGTCAAGCGTTTTGCTCATCGTGTTCATGTGGAGAAGAGTAAGTTGATATTGCTCAATAACAAGTTTTCGGAGTTTTTTTTGTTGTTAGTGATGTATTTCGCGGGACTATTTTCTTTCAGCAAAGCAGATCTGTCCCTCATATGAAAACTGTCAATAAAACTATGATTGTTCATCTATGAAGATGAAAGGTAATCCATGAATGAAGAACAAGGCAAGATTTAATAATTCAGAAGTTTATTGAAAAATCCTAGTAGTCAAACAATCAAAACTATCCTAAAACAATTTCCCGCCTACTGTTATTTCTCGCCCTCAGCTTATCGCCTGTACTATCATTGACATTAGTAAAAATTTTTATCCTTAGAATATGAATTAGACCGTTTTCAATTTATGATTTCTTGATTTTTGATAAAAATACCTGCTGCTTGCTGCTAAGTCTCAGTTTTATCGAGCTTAAATTTGATTTTTTCCTGACATAACTAAAGTAAAGTATCCAGTAAATGATATTTTTTGAATCTTCTGTCCTGTACAACACTTTTTGAATAAAGATGCATTATACATGTTTTTTTTTCTCCTCTTATTAGATCGTCACTACAAGCCGATACGTACCCATTCATCGAATGCATGCAATATTACTGGAGATGATGAGGAGATTTGTTACGCACGAGAACCGATTTTATTCTTTCATTTTGAAATGACAATGATAAAACATGAACGAGATATTTTTTCTACAGAATTTCTTTTACAACATCGTCGGTTTATCACTGTTGATCTTACATTGACCGAAATCGATGGCATTCTAAATGAATTTCACTCGATTTTTTACATTTCTCATACATTTCCCTCGTATATGCACAATAATCCACGTATACGACACTATTCTACCAATTTATTCGTGAAAACACAAGATGAAATGGATTATACAAAAAAATCAATCGAAAAATTGACTATGAAACTTCGTCACGATCTTGCTATTTTCTATCGACAAGAAGCTGAACGTGCATTGAACGAACAAGATGATCGTATCATTGCTAAACGATTATTCGCTAAATCCGCTCAATGCTATGAACGATTGGCGACTGAGACACAAAAAAAAGTAAAACAGGATGTTGATAAGAAAAAATCTTAACTAAGGTAAGACGATGGATTTTCTCAACGATATTTGAAAATTTAATCCAGAATATTGTGTATTTGCTTAACTAATATCTGTCAAATAAATAATAAATCATGCAATTTGTCTTTCATTTTCTCTGCGACTGAATATGCATTTAATTTCACTTCTATATAAACGATGATTGAATATAGATGGAAGGTGGAATAAAACAACAACAAAAAAACTCTGTTTCAAATTGTTTTAATTTTCTTCACTTTTATTATATAGTTGTTCTCAGAGGTGAGAAGCTACTGTTATTTTATGTTATTTATAATAATAATAAAAAAAAACAGTTATTGATTGAAATAACAACGTTAAACAGGTCATTTGGTATGAATAACACAGATAACAAAATAACATTTTGTTTGTTCAAAAGCTTCAGTTTCTGCTTAAAACTAGCGGACGTGGAACTTAAATCGATTTTGAAAGTTAACGAAGACTTTAGTGAAATTTTCAAAATAGACTTTCTCACTTTTAGAGATGAAAAAAATCGAGTTTGACCGAATTTTTTCAAACTTAACGAAAGGTTTTCGGGGTCGAGGAATCCGCTTCTGATGGTAGTTTTTTCAAATTTTGAAATCCATTTTCTCACTCCAAAATGGCTACAATAGAAAATTATACCTCGACCGTGAAAACCTATCATCAACTTTGAAAAAGATTCATGGTCTTTGGAATATTGTTTCTTGCATAGAAATAAAGATACTTTTGAAATTTCCGTTAACAGTTACTCGGCAACATAACGGTAAGTTTCCTTCCCTAGTTTTAAGCAAAAACTGGCACTTTTAGTAAACAAAAAGTTAGTTACACTAAATAATCTTTATGTCATTGTTATTTTGATTAATAACATTTTTTTGTTATAATTATTTGTAATAATAACTTATCATCCCTAGCAGAGGTTTCAATGGAACAGCATGGAGCGAAATTTTTTCAACGAGATTCTGAGATCATTGCTGTATTTTTTCGTTGTAACAAAATTTTTGACGTAGGTAGTTTCTTTCAACAGCTAGAGTTGTTTTTTTTTGAAAATCTTCTGCACATATCAATCGATATATACCAAAAATTTTCAAAAAAGAGTTCTATCTGTTGAAGGAAACTACCTACGTCAAAAGATATAGTTTCAACGAAAAAAAACACAGCAATGATTTCATAGGATCTCGTCGAAAAAAATGTTTCCACCCGTCTTGTCTCACAGTAATTTTCGGAAAACTTTCGGTCTATACTGGCTCATTGAGATCTCTGATCCCTAGTTGTTCTGTACGAATGTTACCATCACGAGCAGTTTTTATTGATTCGCTATTGATTTTTAAGAAAATTTTGATGCTTATTCTAACGAATACATCGAGTTAAAGATACTATCTCAATCATTTCGAGTCTATTTAAACATTTGAATTGTCATCTATCTTTGTACAGTGAAAACTTAATCTTCTCTATTATTTATTGTAGATGTTCTTATAGAAATTTGCTCATGATGTTTATTATTAATTAAAACAACGATAAATGGCCGATGGAGTAAGTTTTTGAATAGTCTTTATTTATCTATCAACGAAATCATCCTTTTCACGTAAAAATAGGGAATGCGTTTCGGCGACGTCATTCCTCCACATTCATTTGATGAGGAACCTCGCCTGATGATCTACGATCTTGATCATCGTATAAGAAATTCGAGTGAAGAACTTCATCCATTTGACTCTCGAGTTATAATTCATAGCGATTTTCAAGACTGGTGTCGTGAATTTGAAAGGACGCGTCATGCACGATGGGTACTTCTTCTCCTATTACCAAATCTTTCCTCTCAAGCTGTAATTCAATTCGTTGATAATTATGTGATCAATAGACAAGATTTACATTCGTTCTACCTAATCTTCACTAACGGTAATCAATTTGACAAACATTTGCGTACTCGTTTCCCTCATACTCTTCAATGGTGTCGTTCGATCACAGACAAACTATTCAATCATATTCAATCGGTATGTGCAACGGTCTGTGATCTTCAGATTCAGTTTTACGATCAACGAATAAGCGAAATCGAGGAAGAAGATGATGATGATGATAATAATTCATCGGCCATTATAAACCTATATAATAATCAGAGGGCCGAGCTTTTTCGAATTCAAAATATATATACCTCTCAGATGTACCTATCAACTAAGTAATTTGTCAGATTTCATTGAAATAGGAAATTTTAACCAAGATTTTCATTTGTTTTTTTTTTGACAATTGTCGAACAGCAAAACATGGATTATCCCGATTCCTGACCAATCAAACATTTCGTTCTCATTCGTAATTCTTTCTCTCGGTACAAGAATTCCATACTATGATTTTCTCATGAACAGTTTAAAAAATTGAAAGTATTTAGCATCCATGAAAATGTAATAGAAAATAATTGATAAAATGTCTATCATCCGAAATAGCTTGCATTGTGACCACAGTTTTGTAAATTGAATATGAAGTAAGTCATCTAGAAAGTTGTCGAAATATTCTTACCGCCCTCCCATATTAGAAGGCTCCGGAGGCTTCTGTTTGCCCTCGAAAAGTTTGATCGAGTTTTGATGGAGCAATCCCTCTGAGAGGGGCTTTTATTACGGGATGTGGTTTAGGAACACTTTTTTTGATGTTATCTTATCTATTATACAATTTTTTGAGCTTTTTATTATTTCTATTATGAAAACTACTTTTTTGTGATGTTTTTCTGTTCAATTTTGAAATATGTCTTATTTTCACTTGTTCTGTTTATTCACTTGACCGATTATATGTTTGATTTACTTTTCGTTTTTATATCGATAATTCTATTGAAATATATGATAACCGAGACAAATCGGTGACTTTTTTGGAGCATATCTTGTTATCAATGAATGCAATGCCTATAAAAGATACTAGTATCTATGAAAAGCTTTCAGCATGAATCCGATAGAATTTAAGGGTGAAAGATGATGAAGTTGCTTTAATCATTATGAAAAATTTTAGCTACATCTGTAACAGATCGTGACAGAAACAAAAATGAACAAGCTGAAAAATCTACCAAAGCACCAGTGATCTCCATGAAAAGCTTCATTTTTGCTATCCAATACAGTCTCATGGAATGTCCAAT